CCTTGTTTTACATCCTATCAGCCTATGCCATCATGATCTATGGGTATGCCTTTTCTTCCTCATTTGGGCTGTAAGCCCTGGGAGGGCAGTGGTGTCTAACTCATCTCTATGTGCAGGAGACAACATTTTCCAAAGGAAATAGGAATAGATGACTCCAAACAATGGCTACAATCCAGTCTTATAAAACAAGAACAAGCTTTGAAATGTCATCAGGCCGTTTCTGAGTGCGCTCTGTCCCTCTCTAAGTAGACTGTGGCCTCACAGAGGGCAAGACCTTGTCTTTTTTTTTAAGAGTTTTATTGTTAATTGAGTGAAGGTTTGTTTACCAGTCCCACATTCAACAATACACTTCGCTTCATCTCAGTAATTGCAATTCAACCCATGTACCATTGATCTTGTCTAATTTGTTGTGATGTGGCACTGCAGGTTAATGCACTGGACTGCAAAGTAGGTTTGAATCACCAGGTTGTCAGTTCAAACTCACCAGCCACTCCTCAGACACCCTATACAGGGTTGTTATATGAGTTGGGACTGACTCCACGGCACTTAATAACAACATTATAGACAATAATTGCTGGGTTCTGGATCAAGCACTTGCCCAATGCTTAGGTCTTTCCAACAGGAAGGATTTAATATAGGGAAATAAGTGCTAATGTAAAGGTTGGAAGGACTGAAGGAGAAAAAAACAACAGCACTGCCAAACTGATCCACCTGGGAAGCTGCTGCCACCTTTGAGATTGCCACTTCTATTGGTTCCAAGGAGCCAGATCTTTCCTCTACTATATCTTCTAAATTGTTGGTGGCTCTGGTTTTTGTGTTTTAACTTACAGTCAACTATCTTATTAAGCTTTTAATTCATTCTAAAAAAATGGACTCCAGGTGTGGCACTGAAGGATCAACACCAGACTGTGAACCACAAGGTCATCAGTTCAAACCCACCAGCTGCTCTTTACAAACCCTATATAGGTCACGACTATGAGTTGGAACCAACTCAATGGCATTTGACAACAACAGCATTCCATAATTCTCTTGGATTTTCTACGTGCACATTCAGATAAGTAAAAGGCAAAATTATTTTTATCTTTTTTTGTGTTGTCCTATTGTATTTTAGCTAGAACTTCCAAGACAATTTTAAATACCAATGGTGATAGCATATACTAACTCTACTCAGAAGTAGTATATTCTGGAATCTCTATCCCATTCTATGGATAATTTTGTAGTCCCTTCCCAACCATATTGTTATTATATTTAAATATAATTACAATCCCCCCTCTCTTAAGTGCTGTTTGAATACAAATACAAGTGGGTGGCTTTTTAAAAAAAAAAACAAAAAACCTTTTCATTGTAATTTGGGTGAAAGTGTACAGAGCAAATTGGTTTCACATTCAACAATTTGTACACATTTTGATTTGTGGCATTAATTGCCATCCCCACAATGTAACAGCACTCTTCCCACTCCCTCCCTAGGCTTACCATTTCCATTCATCTTTCTTTCCTATCCCTTCTTGCCTTCAGAGTTTTATCCCTGGACAAATGCTGCCCTTTTGATCTTGTAGGATTGATTTTTCTGGTGTTATTTGCTCACCTTGTAGTCCTGTCTATCATTTGGCTGAAAGTTGATCCATGGGGTGAGTTCAATTTCAGACCTGAAGCTGTCTCAGGGAAAGTGGGTGGCTTTTAAATAACAGGAATGGGACTTCTGGCAAGATGGCAGACTAGGCAGATGTACTACACAGACTCTCTACAACAGATATACAAGAGACCAAATGAAACAGACACAAATGAAAATACTGGAACCTTGAACTTCAAGAGAAAAGGTTAAAGAAGTGCAGTGAGAGCTTGCTGGGAGGAGAAGCTGAACAGGGAAATGTTCTGTGGAAGAAAAGGCAATCTTTCAAAGATACCTAAATATCATTCTTTTGAATTCTTTTTCAGATGATACATTCTGAAAGCAGAGAGGACTAAAATACTGATGAAGATCAAAGACCACAGCCTTCAGTATGGATTGCACGTCAATGTAAAGAAAACAAAAGTCCTCACCACTGGACCAAAAAATAACATCATGATAAATAGAAAGAAGATTGAAGTTGTCAAAGACTTCATTTTATTTGGATTCACTATCAACGCTAATGGAAGCAGCAGTCAAGAAATCAAATGACTTATTTCATTTAGGCAAATCTGCTGCACAAAACCTCTTTGAAGTGTTCAAGAGTAAAGATGTCAGTTTGAAGACTAAAGTGGGCCAGACCAAAGCCATGGTATTTTCAATAGCTTCATATGCATATGAAAGTTCATCGATGAATAAGGAACTGTAGAAGAATTGATGTATTTGAGTTATAGTGTTGGAGAAAAATATTGAAAGTACCCTGGACAGCCAGAAGAACAAACAAATCTGTGTTGGAAGAAGTACAGCCAGAATCCTCCTTAAAATCCAGGATGGCGAGACTTCGTCTCTCATTCTTCTGACATATTATCAGGAGTGACCATTCCCTGGAGAAGGACATCATGCTTGGGAAATGGTGAGTACGCAAAAAAGAGAAAGACTCCCAATGAGATGGATTGGCTCAGTGGCAGCAGTAATGGGCTTAAGTGTAACAACATTGTGAGGATGGCACAGGACCAGGCAGTGTTTCATTCTGTTGAACATATGGTAACTATGAGTTGGAATGGACTCGATGACCTCTAACAACAATATGGAACAGCTATAGTCTGTCCTGTAGTTCCCTGTGATGGCTAACGTTTTGTGTCAACTTGTTTTGGCCAAGATTCTCAATGGTTTAGCAGTTAAGGTGTAATAATCCCCTATGATGAAATCTAATATAATCACTAATAATAAATCACTTCCTCCATAATGTGATCTGATGTGATCAGTCAGATCAATCTGATGTAATAATCCCATGTGTTATAGATCCTTACTTTTATTATGTAATAAGGTCAGGTGCAACCTACAGAAGTAAGTTGTATCTTGAGTCAATCTTTTGAGATATAAAAGGAGAGAGAAGTGAGTAGAGAAAGAAAAATCCACCACCAAGAAAAAAGAGCTGGGAGTGAAGTGTGTCCTTTGGACGTGGAGGTCCCTGCATTGTGAAGCTCATAAAGTCAGGAAAAGATTGATGTAAGACACATGGAGATCTGCAAGGAATGCTGGGTCTACAAATGCTGAAAGGAGACATGGGTCTTTCCTCAGAGCTGACAAAGAGACAAAGCCTTCCCCTAGAACTGGCACTCTGAATTTGGACTTTAGACTCTTAAACTGTTAAGGAATAAATTTTTGTTTGTTGAACGCAAATAAATAATAACAGAAATTTAGTTCACAACATTTCTGTAGGCTAACAGCCCAAATAAGGGTCTTTGTTGTTGTTCTGATTCACAGCGACCCTGTATAGGGTTTCCAAGGAACAGCTGGTGGGTTTGAACCACCAACCTTGTGCTTAGTAGTACAACGCTTATACAGTGCTTATTCTACAGCATCACACCAGGACTCAAGTGTAGTGTGTGTAAAAATAATGGTCTTGGCTGTATCAATTCTTTCCTTGTCAGTACCACCAGGAGTTCCTTGGTTCCTTGGCATTCCTTGGATTGTACCTGATTTTCACATTATGTTCATCTTTCCCTGTATATCTCTATGCCTATTCTTTTTGTTTGTTTTGTTTTTAAACTCAGAAGACATTAGGTTAAGGATTCATCCTACTCTGATTGGACATCATTAACATAACAAAAGAGAAACCTACAAACAGTAACACACCCACTGGTATGGTATTGTTAAGTGCCATCGAATGGCTTCTGACTCATAGTGTCCCTATATAGGATTTCTAAGGAGCTGCTGGTGGATTTGAACCATAGAGGGGTTAGGATATCAACACACATATGGAATGGGGTCAGGGGGAGATACACTTCAATACATAACATACCACCATTCCAATTAATCTTGTTTTCCAAAATTTTGTTCCTGATTTCTAACGGCAGTACCTTTAGAGTTTCATTGTTTAATATGGTGTTTGTGGAAAAAGCGCTTTTGACTATTTGTTGTTGCTGTCGAGTGCCTTCAAATATAATTTCTTTTGCAGGAGTTTTACATCTTTCTCCTCATCTTCTGAGTCTGACATATTTAGGAAGTTAATTTCTATATTCCGTAGATAATATTTTAATGATTGCTAACCTTTATCAAAAGCTTTCTTCAGCATCTTGAAATACTATGGTGGCACTATAGGATAAGCACTGGACTGTAAAGTTGATTTGAACTGCACGGTTGGCGGTTCAAATTCATCAGTGGCTCTTCAGAAACCCTGTACAGGTTGGATATAGATCGACCCCACTGGATGGCACTTAACAACAACACTGTTATGAGCACATGACTGCTTCTTTGATTAACTCATTGTAGTGAATAGAAAGTAAAGAGGGCTGTCTTGTTTGAGGGAACAGGAGGTCTGTCTGAGGTGGTATTTAGGCTCAGGCCAGGTATTCTTGTAACAAATATCAAGTTAGAATCTTTTTTGCTTTGAAAACAGAAGGAGGCAAGCTGTAGGAACCCATTGCAAAGCTAAGGGAGAACTGCAACCTCGAGTGCACTTTCTTGTTAGGAGATGCACAGATTGTAAAGACTTGGAGTTTCTGAGGAAACCCTATGTCCTCACTTACCCCAGGACTTGAAAGCATTGATAAAGCAGGTCTTATAATGCCAATTCCATTAAATGAGCAATCACTGAAACCTCACAACAGTGGTAATGAACTTGTACCACTAAAAGCCCCATTTTATGGATGAAGAAACTAAGGCTGAAAGAGGCAAAGAGCCCTCCAGTAAAGCCAAGATGAGAAGGCAAGTGGGGCTACTCCAAAGTCAGTCACTCCCTGGCACGTCCACCAGGTGGGGGTGAGCCCCAGCGTTTGGGAGGCGGTGGGTGCTGCCTGTGTTCGGCTCCTCCCAGCCCCGTCGCGGAGGCGGTTCTGGCGTGCCTCGCGCCGTCCACTCCCATCGGATTACAGCCGGGGAGGCGGAGCGGGGTGCGCACGGCCGTCGGTGCCCTGGACCATGTCGGCAGCTGCGCTCCTGCTCAGCCTGGTGCTGCTGGCCCCTCGGGCGGCGGTCGCAGGCATGGGCGCATGTTACGACGGTGCGGGCCGGCCGCAGCGCTGTCTGCCGGAGTTTGAGAACGCAGCGTTTGGCCGGAGCGCAGAGGCCTCACACACGTGCGGCCACCCGCCCGAGGACTTCTGCTCGCACGTGGGAGCGTTGGGCACCACGGCGCAGTGCCAGCGCTGTGACGCTGCGGACCCTAATCGCCACCACAATGCCTCCTACCTCACCGACTTCCACAGTCAGGACGACAGTACCTGGTGGCAAAGCCCGTCCATGGCCTTCGGCGTGCAGTACCCCACCTCGGTCAAAATCACTCTCCGCCTGGGTAAGCACCGCCGGCCCGACCCAGCCTTCTCTGTCTGAGAGCCGAGACTGGGTGGTAGGTCTCAGATGGGGCTGGCAGGATAGACTGAGGGGTGCCCCTTGGAGCTTTGAGGGGCCCTGAAAGCTTTACAAGAGAGGTAGTTTGGGTGCACTTACAAAGCCCTGTAATGGCGTTTCATTCTAGACCCACAACTGTTGGTGGGCAAAGGTGATTCTCCGAAGGGAATCATCATCATCATCATCATCATCATCATCATCATCATCATCTAGGGCAGTGGGTTCTAGTTTGGGGTCTTCTTGTCAGCTTTCGGGGCTCCGTGAACTGTGAGGTTCTGTGTAGTCTGCAGTTTCGTTTTGTGAGAGGAGAGCCAGTCTTCGCTACCTAGAAAAGCTGAGTTTCTGGGGCGGAGGACCAAGTTTCATCCTGCTGGTGGGTAGCTGGACCGCCTGACATGGCCTTCTGTACTGCCCATGCCAACCTCCACCCAACCCACGCTTAGCTTCAACCAAAAAACCTCCAAACTGTTGCCGACAACAGCAACCCTATACGACAGAGTAGAACTGCCCCATAGGGTTTTCAAAGCTGCAGTCTTTCTGGAAGCAGAATGCCACATCTTTCTTCTGTGAAACCGCTTTCTTCCATTTAGCTACTGAGCTCTTAACCATTGCGCCACCAAGGCTAATTTGCTATGATGTCAAAACCAAACTCACTGCCAGCAAGTTGGTTGGGACTCACAGCAACCCAAATTGACAAGAATAGAATTGCTGGGTTTCCAACGCTATAAATTTTTACAGAAGCAAATTGCCACATCTTTCACCCATGGAGCAGCTGCTAGGTTGGAATTGCTGACCTTCTGGTTAGCAGCTGATCGTTTTTGCTAAGGGGCAGAACCTCTTAATGCCAAATGCTGTTAAGTTGATTCTGAATCGTGCCAAGATAAAACTTGTGCTTCATACATAGAGTTTTCAAGGCTGTGATCTCTCAGAAGTAGATTGTTAAGCCTGTCTTTTAAAGTGCTCTGGAGTGGATTTAAATCACCAACCTTTCAGCTAGTAACCGAAAGTTTACCTCTTAGTTCCTGGGAATCAACCCAGAGGCCTTCACATTCCAGTCACCCCCTATTTTAGGAAACTGGAATGCCCCACTTCCAGCCCTCTTTGGGCTGTGCAAAGCATCTTAACTGTTGCACTTTCTACAGCTTTTCCAGAGAGGGAGGGTTTTCACAAGCACATACTCCTTTAATGGAAATGTCAAGTCCCTCAAAGCTTTGAAAACCAAAAGTTTATTATTATTGTCATTATTTATAGCTTATTTTCACTGTTAATTCTGACCTGAGGCTATTTATAGTCTTTTTAGCCTACACTTAGAATATTTTTATAATTTACTACTGAAATCTTATTTAAGTACAATTTATATCCTCACACCCCTGTTGGAGGTGTTAACTCAATGTATGGATAAATGTACTGCATCATTCTAAAACCTGAGCAATTCCGAATTTCGTAATGTATCTTGGTCCTAGGAGTTTGGATAAGGTATTTGGGAACTGTCTCCATTTTTCAGATGAGACTATTGAGGCTCAGAGAAGTTAAGTGTTTTACCCAGAGACACACAGCTGCTATATGAGCACCAGTATGAACCTGTTTACAAACTCCTTAACATGACCTCTACCGCCTATCAGCAAAGTTGGCCTTTCCTAAACCTAGGTGACAGAATCACTGGACTGACTGGGAAATGATATTGGAGTGAGGAAGCATGAACCTCGTCATCAGAGCTTCCAGAGTGCTGGTGACTCCCAAGAAGCTTACCCCTTAGGTGTCTTTACCTTCTTTTGGCTTGTCTGGACCAATAGGTGGAACTTCTGGTCCCTATGTGGGGGGAGGGAGGAATGTGTGACAGGAAACCACTACAGGGAAGAGATGAAGGGGATGCTGACAGGCTGGGGCTGGCAGAACCCCAAGGCCACAGGGGAAGGAATCTGGGACAGGGTGGGGGCTTCGAGGGAGACACATTGTTCTATGACAGAGGATGCGGGTTTGGCTGATGTATTACATGTGTCAGTGGAACCAAGGGCCAGCAGGGAAAAGTATCTCAGCCCAGCACTAACAAAGCAGGGACAGAGACAGGGGAGGTAGGCATCCAGTTTTTTGTATTTGGGGGAAACTCACATGGGAAGCTCAGTGATTAAAGCACTCAGCTGCTAATGAAAAAGTTGGTGGTTAGAACCCAGCAGTGACTCCACAGGGGAAAGATGTCTGTTTCCATAAAGGCTACAGCCTTCCCATAAAGGAAAACCTATAGGGGTGGGCCTACTCTATCTTATAGGGTTGCTGTGAGTCAGAATTGACTATGTTGTTATTGTTAGTGCCGCCGAGTCAGTTCCGACTCATAGTGACCCTGTTTAGGGTTTCCGAGGAGTACCTGGTGAGCTTGAACCTCCGACCTTGTGGTTCAAGCTGACTTTGAAGTCCAGAGCATTCACCCACAGTGCCACACCAGGACTCCAAGTGCTGGGTCTTGTACTTTGGCTGATGACCTTTTTGAACACTGTTGAGAACCCTTGGAGGCAGGGTGGTTCTCAGCCCTCTAAGAGCAAGAACACCTGAGGTTCAGAAAGGCAAGGTTTCATCCTGCCATGTCTTACCCTGAGCCAATATCCTTTCCATCAGGTTATACAACTCCATGTGTCTGTACAATGAATGGATGAATGAAAGAGTGGGTGAATGAAGATGTCACTTCCGCTGTCCTCTGCTTCTAGGTCCAGCTGAAGAGTTCCATTTTACTTGCTCTGGGAGATGGAATAGGGTAGAAATCCCAAAACAAGGGCTTTGAACTCTGACCCAGCCCAGCTCCACTGGGCAAGTGACTTTGTCTCTTAGCACTTCAGTTTTCTCCTCAGTAAAATAGGGATAAAAGTTGTTACCTCCCAGGATGGTTGTGTGGGTTCCATGAGTTTAAGTCAGCCAAATCCTTACAGTTCTTGTGTGTGGTAAATGTTACTCTGTTGAGAAGAGCTCAGAGCTGGGGTTCGCCTGCAGAGGAGCTCTGCTGTTAAGATTGAGAAATACCAGGTCTGGCCGCCCTGACCCCCAAGAGACGCCTGACCCTGGGCCCCATTTACGCACAAGAGGAGCTGGGGTCCCACAACAGTCCAGAGTCAGCCCAGTTTTGGTTCCACATGATTTGGTCAGATCCAAGCTAAGTCAGGGATTTCATAATATTGCAGGAAGGAGAGGTCTGCGGCTACCAGAGTTGTCGCAGGATCCCCTCTGCTATTTCCCCCTGGTGATGGGACTTTGTCCCCAGTGGTGGCCCTCTACTCTCAGTCCTTGAGCCACCTCTGCTGGCTTTGTTCCCCACTTCCCCCACTACTTGAAGACTCATGGGAGGGGAGAGTGGGTGGTCTGCTCTGGGGGAGTGTGCCCTGGAGGGAGCCGGGTGAAGGACAGGGGAGGGAGGGACTGCGGTTAGCCTGGGATGGAGGTCGCTGCTTTCCCAGCCCCCTGCAAGCTCCTAGACATCTGTTCCAAATCCTTGAGTTGCTAAGCTGAGCCTTCCTGTCTGGGATGAAAGACAGCAGTGGGGTCTGACTGCTCCCAGCCTCTATTGCAGCCCAGAGAATCAGACTGGACTGCAGCCAGGTGGCCAACAGAGGGTATAGGGAGATGTACAGAGTCATGGGGTAACAGACAATTTAGGGGGGTACTCACCACATTCCAGAAACTCTACTGAGTCAGTACCCCAACCCAGCATAGTTCATTCTTTTCTAGATGAGGAAACTGAGCCTTGGAGGACAGAAACAATAGCCCAGAGTCACACAAAAATGGGCTCAAACGTAGCAGCAATTGTAAGGATGGTGCCGGACTGGGCAATGTTTCATTCTGTTGTATATAGGGTCACTCTGGATCGGAACTGACTTGACGGCACCTAACAACAACAAGAGTCATATGTTGTTGTTAAGTGCCATGGAGTCGGTTCTGACTCATAGCAACCTAGTATAGTGTTTTCAAGAAGCGGCTGGTGGGTTTGAACCACCAGTCTTGTGGTTAGCAGTCCAGTACTTATCCAGCAGTGCCACACCAGAGTCATATAGCTAATAAATAATGGAGCCAGATTTTGTCCCCTGTCTGGCCTGATCCCAGGACCTTACCCCCATTTATACTTTACTTAACAATGTCGAGCATTCATTGTGAGTCAAGTCTTGGTCTTGGGAAGAACCAAGTCCAAGTCTTTGCTTTTTGGCAAAACTGAGCCTACATACTTGCTTGGATTCCTAAGAAGGACCCCTGACCCCTAGCAAATGAGTTCTGATCCCCTGAGCTCTGAGGGGAAGCTGTGAGGAGGAAGGTGGATGGTTTCAGTTCCATGTCCCTCACCTCCTGTGTGTAGAGATGATTTCTTTCTTCATTGCAACCTTGACTCATTTGTTTAGTAGTTACTGAACCTCGACTATGCTGGCCCTAGGACTCACACCGTCCCAGCCCTGTGGGGCTCGGTGTTCCCTGGAAGACAGGTTGCACCCAGGAATTGCCCGATTGAGGCTTGATGCTCATATTGGGGGAAATGAACCTTGTCTGGGGGCCAGGAAGGGCTCCACTAAGATCTGGAGGATTGTTGACTCAACAACTCAAAAGGATTGTTGGAGTCAACATGAGAAGGAAAGATATTCCAAGCCAAGTGAACAGGCGTAGGGAGGCAGGAAGCAGCTTGTGTGTTCTTGGACCTTGAGAGTCTGGACATCTGGGCTGCAGGGAATGAGGAGACAGTGAGGCCTGGCCCATAGTGAGCAGGGGCTGAATGTCAGGAGGACCCTGCCGGCCCTCTGAGGCACCCGAAGCCAGCTGGGTCTCCTGAGCTTTGGCTCCATTGCATCATTCTGTTGAGTGGGAGACCGTGTTTCCCTTGGCTGAGGACAGTGCTGGGGGGCTGAATCTTCCTTCTTTCTCCCTGGGGTTTCTGGCTGGATCACTTGGCCCCAGGAGAATGGGAGGGTCAAGGCTGCA